GTGTGGTCGTCGTACTGTGTCGAAGGCCCTCGAGAGGTCTAGGCATAACATCATGCCACCTGCCAGTGAGGGAGAATCAAGACCCTGTTTCATCCTGTGCACAGGGTAACTGAGCTCACCCATCATGGCTCGGACCTGTCGACAATGATGAACCAATCGATGGATAGCGTCATCTGTGCCACGACCTCTCGCATAGGCAAACTGTGGTAAACGATTCAATACATGTCCTATCTGTTGCTGTATGGCAGTGTTGAGCAACCCCATTGCCGCCTTTCCCGACGGTTCCAACAGTGCGATAGGTCGCAGTTCAGAGGGATGTCGGCCGGCCTTCCCTGGTTTAACCAGCATGGCCAGGGATCCCATGCCCCAGACAGAGGGGAAGGAGGTCTTCATGCTGCAATCATGAAACATCGGATCCAAGAATGCTGCAATGAGCTCAGCCCCATACTTCCAGAAGGGAGCCGGGGAGTACCCAGGCGCCAGAGCTTTGTGTGTGGGAAGAGATTGAAGTCCCTGTGCAAACTCCTGAATCGTGAATGGCCATGCAAATGGTGTCAAGTCCATGTCATCTGTGTGATCAGTGTAGATGTCCTGAAACCATTGATGTAGCCAGTCAGCTGCCGCTTCTGGACCAAGCAAATCACCTTGTTCAGTGCGCAACATGATGCGTTTCATGGGTTGTTTGGGTGCCAAAAGTCGGATTGATTGAAAGAGTTGAAAGTGATCTTTGGCCTGTGCTGCTTGGTTAGCTGCATGATAAACCTGAGCAAGTCGTCGTTTGCGGGAAATTTTGGAGGCCATGACCATGTCTCTCCGAGCTTTGCTTCTGTGTGTGATATGAAACCACGCTTTGAATAGTCCTGCAAGATCTGAAGTCTGCACTTGCCGTAGACCTCTGGTATCAACATCAGTTTGAATGGATGATGTAGGTTTGTCAGGTTGGAAGGTGGCACCATCAAATTGTTTGAGAGTGTCATGCAGAGCCTCAAGGTCGGAGCTGGAAGTGGTTCCAAGGTTCTCGATGGCCTCATGAAGTCGGGCACAGAAATGTGTAAAAACAAGATCTTGTTGAACACAGTGCTGATGTAGTTGAAGCCTTTGTGATCTGGTCCATCCCGTCTTCAACGGTGGTCTCTCTGGGTACCATTCTTTCCTGATCGTGGTCAATAAAGGTACATGAAAAGCTCCAGTAAGAGGTACCAGTGTGAAGTCTCTCAACAGTTGAACATCTTGGCCATCTTGTCCGCGTGTGTGCGGCGTGTGCAAATGTAATCGATTCTGGAAGAATGTGTGCAGAATTCATAAGTTGCGCCATCACTCGCACTCCAAGTGTTGAGAGCTACCAGATCGTGTTGAGATAGCAACTGCTTGCAATGTGAGGCATCTGCATGACTGGGGCCATGACTTCTACCTTCTGAGGTCTGAAAGGTCGGATATCCAATGGCATTGGATCGCTGATCTGCAGAGCAGTTAAAGTCCCCAGCCATGATGAGAGTGTTTCTCTGTGGCAGCTTTGATAAAAGTGAAAAAAGTACATGCCAAATCTGCTGTCGTTGGTCCATGTGTGTAGTGATGCATGTGTATTGATATACATTCAGGATATCGATACTTCTGTGAGCTCCATGCAATCTCAGTTGTAGGATTCTCCCAGGTACATGTTCAAACCATGATAAATCAGAGGGCAAACAGATCTTTTTGGAGATGAGACATCGGAGACCTGCCTTCTCCGAGGTTGCGCCGGAGTGCACCGCCAGGTAATGGTCCATGACCCAGTCTCGTGTGAATCTCCAATGAGTTTCCTGAAGCAGGACGATGTCAATCGTTTGATTCTTCATCCACTGCGTCAAAAAGTCCCAGTGATCCGGTGGAAGGCCATTGCAATTCCAGGAGAAACAAGTCAGTCGTCTTCTCTGAACCGGCTTGGGAGGGAGTACATTTTTGGGATGCATTGTTGCATTGGGTACCTTCATGGAAACTCCCAATTGAGACGCGGTGTATATTCTTCCTCTGTACCATGTATGTCCATGTATCGAGGCTCTATTGCGAGCACGGAGAAAACTTCTCTTGCATACAGCCCTATGTTTGCTAGTCTGGATTGATTCGTGAATCTGTCTGGGCTCCAATCCATGTGTTTTCGCAGCATGCCAAGGTTCCTGGTCAAGAAGTCGATGTGCTGCTTCCACGTCACCCATGGATGTGACGTAACCCTCACCCCCAACCTCGTTGCTGTGTAAAATCAGAGATATCAAGCACAGCACAAGGAGAATGACTCGACCAAGAAGTTTACGAGGTCCTCGGACTTGGGACCGAGAGGTGGTTGTCTTCGCTGTCGTCTGGCACCAAAATCCGTAGTGCAGGAAGATCCCAATGATCTTGATACAATGGCCAACTGTCCAAATGAAGGGCCGGAAGGAATCCACGTGTAAGGGCACGTTGTCCAGCAGACACGGGAAAAACTCTTGTACCCTGCCCACAAATGAAAAAATGCCAAATTGACAAATAGTTAGGCCAGTGAAAAATTGTAAGGGAGCCAACCCCATATGTAGATCCTGGAGCCACCCAGGTCAAAAAGGCCAGAAACGAAGAGGAAGTCCAGCAGCGCAAATGTTGAACAGGCAGCCGAAAAGTGATCACAGGTTCGGCAGCAGCTGCCTGATCAGCTGCGCAGCACAGCCACAGCAACGATCACCAAGACTGGCCAGGAATTGGTGTCAACGCCGTGTCGGCGAACAAGTACCCAAACGTCGTGGGGCACCCTTGTCACTAGGACTCCTCGTCCCTCGAACCACCGGGGGCTTAGTAATAATAATGTGTGTATGTGTGTATGTGTGTATGTGTGTATGTGTGTATGTGTGTCTGTGTGTCTGTGTGTCTGTGTGTCTGTGTGTGTATGTATGTATCTATGTATCTATCTATCTATCTATCTATGTATCTATCTATATCTATCTATCTAGGTATCTAGGTAGGTATGTATCTATATCTATCTATCTATCTATCTATCTCTATCTCTATCTCTATCTCTATCTATCTATCTATCTATCTATCTATCTATCTATCTATCTATCTATCTATCTATGTCTATCTATCTATCTATCTATCTGTCTATCTATCTATCTATCTATGTATCTATGTATCTATGTATCTATGTATCTATGTATCTATGTATCTATGTATCTATATACGTATGTATATATAGTATATAGTGGCTTCATGAACGTCACTGCCGTGGCGTTTCTTTCTTCAGAGTCTCAGGCCCCAGCCGGTGCAGAGGACGAACAACCCATCTTTCTACATCTAGGTGCACTCCCAACCACATCTTGAGCCAATGTTGGTGTTCAAAACCACCTGGACCTGGGTCAACCTGGGTCACTGTCCAATATTTTTGCAATGGTGCAGCCCTACTGACTGAGAAATCCAGTGTTCAGCAGTGCTTCAGCAGCGATTCATTGGATGTTCAACTGAGAAATCCAGTGTTCATACGTGCCATGGTCCAAACATGCTATATGATCTATATGGACATTATATGCCATGGTATATGGGGGCTATGGTCATCCAATCGGAATCGGAAAAAAGAAAATCCAATGGATTGATGACGATGACCATCCATCCCAACAAAACAAGTTGTCAACCAACAAAACCCACGAGTTTTTGGAGGCGATTTTGACATTTTGACCACATTGCCAATTCTTTTGGTGGGTTAAATAATCCATGTTCATCAATTATATAATGAGTTCATCCCTGTTTTTCTTGATGAAATGCCCCTTTTTTCCCCTCCCTCTCGCCCAACTACTGCGCGCTTCCCCTTGCCACAGCTCAGACAGTGCCATGTGGAGGTCTGCACTCAGTGCCTTGCCAACAGGGCACTTATCATCCATAAATGGTCAAGACCCTTGACTTTGGAGTAGTTGTGGAGCATACCGCATTTGATTTCCAACCATTGGCAATTTTCCAACACTTAGGATATAACTAGACTGTAATTGTACGCCAGTACGTCCCATTTACACACCATCTACAAACCACTTATCGGTTCATCACTACCCCTGCTGCGCAACGGTTAGTATAGTGACTTCTCTCCCACCTCGGTGAGGCACGTCACCAGCAGTGAATCCACCTTGGTGGTGAAATCTCCGGTCGAAATTTGGATCCCCCAGGTACCGGTGAAGGTTGAGATTGCCCAACTGGAGATCTACCGGTGAAATCCTCAACCACGTCACTGGTCGGTCGACTCACCGTTTGCGTGGCGATGTCTCTGAGGTGCTCACATATTCATGCCATCTGTGTTCGGGAGCCAGGGAGATGATGTTTGTGTGAACCCAATGTGAGCGAGTCTTACAGAACACATAGGCACATGGTTTTTTGTGGTTCATATCATTCCCTGTTTCAGTGTCGTATATCTAATTTATACACAGGGCTTCACACTTTTCTGCTGCACCATATTGAACCTCTCAAAGACTCACTCCAGCCCAAACGGCACAGGGCTTCGCTCAGCTGGAAGTCGCCTGCGCAGTTTCACCGTCGTGCCAGCGCGCTTCACTGGCAGTCGACTAGCAGAAATGGCTTTGCAATCTGCTCCTGACTTCTGGCCAGGCTCCTAAAACAAATGTCCGTGGTAAATGGATGTAAATGGTAAACCCAAAACCATGAACTGTCCCCATAATTTTACCAGAAATGGGTTGTATGTATAAACCATCCCCAAAAGGATATGTTTGACGTGTTTCAATGTCCTTCACCACACAATACATCTACAGCACAAGGCACATAGCGCACCGGATTGGGTCAGATCTGCAGCTTTCAGCGGCCTCGGACCTCACCCTGCGAAGATACAGCTCGTATTGGGTAAACCACAGGTGATGTTTGCGATACAAAAATCGTCATAAATGAATATGAATAATATGAATAATATGAATTACTATACAGTAAATTGTTTCTCTCCATGGGATACATTATATAATTGTTTCATATTGGTTCTCACCACCGCCACAGGTCTGGACCAGCGTCGCCTACACCAAAGTCTCACTCGGGGTTCGTCGCCGACGAATGGTTCTCCACTGTGCTGCGACCTTGCTGGAACAGCCAATGCCAAACCAGCCATGGTCGTCCTACTCACTATATGGTTGATGGTCATCCCATCCATAATAAGGATCCAAAAATAATGGTTATTATAAATCCCTATGAACCATTGGATGACTAGCCCCGTTTTTAATGATTATTAACCATGAGTATTGACCACAGCTCATATCAAGTAACTAAGTCATATCAGCCATGGTATGCACGATTATGCATGGTCAGGAGCACGTTGATCATCAAAAAAAAGTACCCTTCATCCAAACGCATCACGTTGCCGGGTCCCAGGCTTTCCGCGGAAGGCTGATGACCCAACAGATGCCCACAAAGAGGAGGACGAAACCAGTCCAGGTGCAGAAGATTGTGAAGGTCCATCCCCACACCTTTGCAATTTTCTTCAATCGTCTTTCTATATCTATGTGCTTCGGCCTTACACGGCTAAGCTTTGCAATTGAGAATCAAACAGACAAAGCGCCAGTGCTGGTGTATTCACTCGGAACCTCAGCTGAAACAAGCACGACCATTCAAAGTCATTTGTCAGGGCAGCAAATGAACTTTTGGACCAGGGGGTTCCCCAAAACAAGAACGAGCCGTGCGTGCAGTGCAAATGTTCAACACACATCCACAGACACCGACTGAGTCAACACATCTGCCAATAGAACTTTCAAGCATTCTGTTGAAATTATTTGAAATGCCAATGACGCATGTTATTCAACTCGAAGACCCTTCCAAATACAATCACTTGCAAATTGAGGCATGGACATTGACTGACTTGCAGTACCTTGAAACCGATTCCAGACGATATTCCAACACAGTAGTCTTTGTCTGCAAAGATGCCACATGTTACCTTGCTGCTGTTCGCATGTGTGTGCGTGTGTGCGTGTGTGCGTGTGTGCGTGTGTGCGCGTGTGCGCGTGTGCGCGTGTGCGCGTGTGCGCGTGTGCGCGTGTGCGCGTGTGCGCGTGCGCGCGTGTGCGCGTGTGCGCGTGTGCGCGTGTGCGCGTGTGTGCGTGTGCGCGTGTGTGCGTGTGTGCGTGTGTGCGTGTGTGCGTGTGTGCGTGTGTGCGTGTGTGCGTGTGTGCGTGTGTGCGTGTGTGCGTGTGTGCGTGTGTGCGTGTGTGCGTGTGTGCGTGTTTTTTTTGCGCACACGCCTTTTCAACTGCAAGGTCAATGCCAGCCAAACGTCAAACTGTGTTGACGGTCCCTTTCGGAATCATTCATGGCCACATGGAAAAATGAAAATGGGTGAAAAAATTGAAAGAAGCCGCAGGCAAAAGAGCTGGATCTGCCATGGAAGTTTCACGTGCTTGGGTCCGTAAGCATGTCCAAAAATTCAGTGACTGAGGTTCGAGGCAGCTGCATGTCCTGTCGGTAAAATGGCAGGCGAATGGAATCTGATCTCGCCAGCCAAACCAACGTCACATTCTCAAGCAACCAATCTTGGAGGGTCCAGACCGCCTCCGGTGCACGCCAGTCATCTGTGACCAGCCATTGAATGGGATTTGTGTGATTTTGGACCATGGGACGAAGACGCAAAGCAGCCCTGTAATGCCCGGAGCCATCATGTCCCAGATGAGCCATTGCCGCAATGACAGTGTAGGCATGAAAATCACTCTGAATCGTCCCATCTGCAAAGACCGGAAAGAAACACTCTTCATCAAGCTGAATCCTGCTCAGGCACTTGTGAACTGTCATATCTGGGCCCATCACGCATCTGTCCACGTGAACGCAGATACAGGTGGTCGGATGGAGCAGAGCCGTGTGCATCCCATCCACCTGCTGCCAGGTGCCGATCAGTGAATTCATGGAGCAATGTGGCAAGAGAATCTGGGTTTCATCAAACTTCAAGCAAATCGGAGCATATGGTTCATGGCTAGAATCAAGCGTATGAGTATATTCTGTCACTGTCATCCGCTTTTCCCACTGCATTTGGAAGGCAGAAGACTGTAGCTCATTCAGCCAAACTTGAACAAACTCCGAAGAGTCCTGTTGAGAAATTGAAGAGGACATCTGTCCAAGCGTATCTCGTCCCCAGCAACGCGTGAGATCTTGGAAGAAAACTTGGGTGGCAAGAGAACTGAGTTGTGTTTTGGCAGTGCCCAAAAACCGCATGATCTCATGGCATTGTCTACCCCAAAGCTCAGGTGTGTAGCAGCTCAGATTCAGGACCGTCCAAAACAAGGAGTACGCCGCAGCATTGCAGAAGCACCAATTGTTCGGGTTGGTAAGGACCATATGGGACACAATGTGTGTCAACTCACCAGGCTGCATGTGAAGGTCACCAGTCAAGGCGCTGGTTTGGCCTGGTTGGCCTTGTGACCCTTCCCTTTCTGCTTCCCTTTCCCCTGTCCCTTGGGGCGGAGTCCCAGATTCTGCTCGATGGTGGCCGCCAGGGAACTCTGGTACAGGTTGTGCTGCTTGAGACTGGTGGCCAAGAGCGTCCAGACCTGGGAGTACGCAAGATGGAGCATGAGTTCGTAGGTCCTGGCCTCCCGGGATGACATCTGAAGTCTCCATGGTGTCACTGCTGAGTCCGGTTTTGCCGGCAGTGAGTGGAACTTCTGAATCAAGGTTGGATCCTTGAAGCCGTCCTGGAGTTCCAGACAGTGCTCGCTCATTTTGGCCAGACTGACGGGCGTCTTCTGTGAGACCTGGAGCTTCTGTTCCTGCGGGTTCCATTCCATGAATGGTATGGTCTTGTTCTCCAAGAGAATCCTGGAGCTCTTGGCCGCCTCCATCAGTGGGGAATCCTCCGGGGCCTCCAGAAGCTTGTGGACCCGAGTCGTCAGCGCTGTGAGCAGGGTCTGGAGCAAAACCTGGCGCAGGGGTCTCTTCCACGTCGATGCATTCTCCGTGGATGCTTGATGCCAGGTCTCCGCCTCTTGCAGCATCAGTGGGAGAACGCCCTTTGGATCCTTGCAGCTGAAGTAGAAGATGAATGTTGTCTCTCGATGGATCACCTGCAAGTCTCGGTCCACCCGAAGCAGCAGCTTGGCCATCAGGATCAGCAGTTTTTGTTGGTCGAGATGGGCGTCTTGCCCGTGCCCCTGCTGAGAGCTTTCTTCCTTTGGCTTTATGGCCCCGTCCTGTCTGCGTTGTCGTTTGGGTGCCGCTGGGTTGGGAGAAAGCTTCAGCCCTGTGTCCAGCATCGGCGCCAGGTTTTGGAAGGTCTGCAGCATCTGGCTCAAGGCTCCCTCTTGGCCCATCTGCCAATCTTGGAGTTCCATGATGAACGTGTGTGAGCAATAACGCAAGTTGCAAAATGCTCGGACACTGAGCTCGCAAGTGAGCTTGAACCAGCTGCTGTCTGGATGGGCAGGTTTGGGACGCAGGCTCAACAGCCGGTGTATTGAAATCTGGCCACATGCAAAACAGGCACAATCATTGTCACTGTGATCCATGGCATGTTGAAGCAGTTGTGCAACATATGTCTTTACAACCGGATGCATTCCCTGGTGTGCCTCATGCAAATGATAGAAAAGATCCATCGCCAGCAGGTCAATGCCACAAAAGAAGCAAGTGCTGCTGCAGGCATCCAAAAGCAAGGCATCTGTCCAGAGCGTCCCAAGGTCGTACCGCAAGAGAGCCTGTTCCACTGTGCAGCGCAAATCAGCAGGAATGTGCTGTGGGAGAGCCCTGGCTAGTTCGGTCATGGTCAGCTTGGCCGGCATGAAGATGGCCATGGGAAGCCGGTGGAATTGCATTGCCAGTTGCCAAAATGGCAGGCATATATGTTGCAGTCGAACCACATTGCAAGACGGGTTGCAAATGCAGCCCAAGGTCTTGTAGTACCTCTGGACCATGTAGTGCACCAACGGTTTGGCCTCATTCCAAAGGCTGGAGTGAGAACTTTGCAAGTGGGCCGACAGGTCCGCAGATCGAGTGCATCGTTTGGGACAGCATTGGCAATGCAGTGTCAATCTCATCCTGTTGCGGGAGTCCGACAAAATTGACTCAAACTGTCCATTGCAGCAAGCTGATTTCCATGTGCTCAAGACTGCTGAAGGCATTGTAGAGGCATCTGGGTCATATTGCAAGCAGCGCCCCTGGTTGATGTGGCTACGAAGGCCTTCCATCGTCTGGAAAAGCATGTGGCAGTGACTGCACACCGGTTCACCCTGAAAGCTATCACGGCTCTCATGCCAAACTGAGCTCACCAGCTTGTGTTCCTGTTGCAAGTGGCGGTGCATCTCCTGAGTCGTGGCACATTGCTGGCCACAGATTTCACATTGCAGTCCATCAGGAGGTGATTCCACAGCACCATGCGTGGGCTTAGGGCCATGCACTATCAACAAGGCTACCTGAAACCAGACATTGCAAGAGTGTGACGAAATGAAAGTCACTCCGCAGGCAGAGCATGGTGTTTCATCGCTATGCAAGTTGGTCAACTGGGTTGCCTTCGTCTGCACCAGGGAGCTATATGCATTGTGCATCATTCTCACATGTTGATGCATTGCCTGAGCCCTACCAACGTACTGACCGCAAAGCAGGCAGTGTCTGGACAGGTATGAGCAACCAGCCCGTTCACGCAGCAGGTCAGGCCAGCGACGCTGGTGAATCAGGGTCAGCAAACGGGGTCCAAACTCATGGCGGTGAATCGCATCCATCTCATGCTTGGTCAACTTCAAAGTTGATCCTGCAGGCTGGGTATCAGCAGTCCGAGTGGCAGGCTGGCTCATCGACTGCTCAGGAAATGGTGCCACAGGTCGGGCAGTGCGCAAAGCCACAGTGTCAGCCTGGCATCCCCGTTGCACATGAATATGAAAGGATCTCCATGTTGTGAATGCAGCATGACACAGGGTGCATTGTGGCAAACCATGATGCATATAATGGGAAGGATCTGGTACATGTTGGCGATATCGAGTGATGCCATGTTCAACTGTCAAGTGGCGTCGCAAAACAGGCAAATGAACAGAGGAAAACTCACAATGAGGGCATCGATGCTCAAATGGCCAAACGGCCTCGTCTCCTGGCATCACAGGTCCGTGGACTACCAAACCTAGGTCAAGTTCATGCTGGATCAAATCCTTCATGCTTTGCAAGGGTGTCCAATCCAGTTGAGTGCTCAGATCATCTGCATGCCGATACAAGGGGGGCTTGGTAACAGACCGATGCAGAGAGTCAGCAGCTCTCCATAGCAACCGCAGCGGGGATTCAAGGTTATGAAATGTCAGTGCATCTGCATGTGTCCTACCTGTGGTAAAAGCATGATCATGATGAACTTGTCGCAGCATCGAAAACATGGTCTGCTGCAGCAGCTGCAAACAGGTTTTGGTGAGGCCGACAGTGAAAATGCCATATGTCAAAATTGGAAGTACACATGTTGTCCACAATCGCATGCGTGCATCTGCAGCAAGACCCCGTCTGGCGGTGAGCCAGCGCTTCAGGCGGTTGAAGGCAAGTTTTGCAAGGCTCAATCTGTGTCTGGTGGTGGCAAGTTCAAACTGCTGATAGCTAATCAGGGTGCCAAGATATTTGGTTTGCTTGACAACCGGAAGCACAAACTCCTGCACGCATCCTCTGATTTTGATCCATTCTCCTTCATGATCGCGAGAGGTCAGTGCCGAACGGACATGGCGGTAGCTGGTGCCACCCATGGTGAGGAGAATTGCTGATTTGGAAGTGTTGATGGTCAATCCTTTGTTTTGCAATGTTTCCATGATCAGGCCAAAATAGGAGAGAATGCGTTGCAATTCATCACTGGAGTAAAAGAGGCAACAAGCATGTATGTCGTCTGCATAAACATTCATGTGATCCCTCACCCACCGCCAGTCTATCAAATGTGCAAGGTCTCTGAGGTACAAGAGAACAAAGGCATTAAATAGCCAGGGTGCGCCCTTACATCCCTGGCGTACGCCAGCCCCTACTTCAATTGGTGTGGTGCTGCCATTGACTTCAACATGATATGAAGTGTATTCATGCCATCTGGCCAGCATGTGCACCACCCTCGGGTTGTCAAGGACTTCATGCAGCCTCCCAAACAATTCAGCACGACTTACACTGTCAAAGGCCTTGCTAAGGTCTAAGAAGAGCTGAATGGCTCCACATACTTGGTACATGGGGAGCTGCTGATGTCTGTGAAAAACCGTCGGTTTTTGGGAGGCAACAAGGGAGCGTCCAGCCTTGCAATGTGCAGCAACCCGAAGCAATGCATGTTGAGTGCTACGAGTTGGCAAATATGCCCATAAAGGCCAAACCAGCAGCTGAGCCAATGAGTCCTTTTGGGCAAGTCTGGCAAGCAGTCCCATCACAGCCTTACCTATAGGTTCCTGGAGCGCCAAGGGCCTCAAGGAGCCCGGATGACTTGGTTTCTTCAATGGTTTCGGGATGAGCAAAAGCCAGGCGTCTCTCCAGCAAGCTGGGACTACTGGCTCAGCTTGCGTCCAGAGCTGTTGCAAAATTCTGTACAAATGTCCCGCTAAAAGGTGCGAGTGAGCATGCCAAATCAGACCAGGGCTGAAAGGCTTGGCAACAGCCTTGGAGATGGGTATCTCGCGCAGCGCCCGGCTGAGCTCCTCTAAGGTGAACGGAAGTCCTGTCATGTCACAAGGCACTTTGGGGACAGTTGGAGATCCCTTCCAGGTACAGCGCACAAATTCATGCATGATTGCCTGTTCTTCTACAGGGGATGCAAGGTTCCCATGCATGTTTCTGATTTGCAATCTACACTTGGGCAATTTCGGAGCAAAGCGATTGATGACTTGAAACAGTTGATAGCTATCGTGCTGTCGAGCAGCAAGTTGGGCTTGATCAAGAATCAAATCAAATTTTTGCTTGCGTACCAAAAAAGCATGTTTCTTGTGGGTTCTCCGGAGTGCATGAAATCTTGCAATATGAAACCACGCTCTGAACACATTTCTCGGGGATGGCAATTGCAGTTTCCTGCATTGATCCCTGTGCCTCCATTTGTCCATAATGACCGATCTGGTAGCATCCACAGGGGTGTCAGCAGTCTGTCGAGGCAAGGATGGAAAGGAAGCATTGAAAACATTCCCTGCAATCTGATGCAATTCAGAAAAAAGGTTGGGATCCCTTGGATCAGCCTGGGCAAGATAGGCATCAATACGCTCAGCTGAGGCCGTCATGAACTCGTGCCACTCTTTGGTTTGTGCAGCATGGGCCAGTCTGCCAGCAGCCCGTTGTTGTGCAGAGATGCCTGATGTGGTGTCCGTCGCTTGTGGTGGAATCCAATGCCTTCTCAACTGTCCCACCATGGGAAAATGTCCAAAGTGATCAACCGCAAGAAAAGGGGTCTGGTGCAAAAGTTTGACATCTTTAGCCAACCCATCCGCCAGGGGCAATCGTGTAAAGGAGAAATCAATCCGTGAGCAACCATTATATCCCCTAAAGGTGGGGCCCTGAGCATGTGACCATGAGTTCAACGCAACCAATTGATGTGCTTTCACAAGGGCCAGAAAATCACCTGAATCAGGGTGAGAGGGACCCTGATGATGAGTCCGATGCCATAGGAAGCCATCACATCCCACGTGGCCATGAGCCGCAGGAAGGCTGCAATTGAAATCTCCTGCCAAAAGAAGGACATTCCTCTTGGGGAGCGCGCTAAGATACCTATCTAAACATGTCCACCAGGTCTGGCGTTCATGGAGCCTGGATCTACTGGCCATGAAGGTATGCTGATAACACGCAACCAAGTCAAAGCATCTCTGGGAAAAACGAAGCTGGGCATGAACAATCCTACCTGGTGCAACCTCTGTCCATCTGAAGGAGGTGGGTTTGCAAACATGTGACGCAATCATGAGTAGGATACCAGCTCCTGTCTGTGTCGGATGCCCAGAATGCACATGCATCCAATGAGGATCACTCCACTCGTTGGAAAATTGCCATCTGGTCTCCGGGATAATCAAAATGTCAATGCATTGACCTCGACACCAGAGTTTCAGTTCGTCCAGGCGATGTTGGCTCAGGCCACCTCCGTTCCAACACAAATAGCGCAGGTAGCGCTTATTCTGATGTCGGGCGTTGCATTTGGATTGATCAGAGACCGCAGGAGTGGGTCTCGGCTTTACATGGGCATGATCAGCAGCAGTTGCTGCAGGCACAGCAGTCGTTTTGAAGTCACCAGCCGTGTAGCATTTGCCTCTGTACCAGCAGGTGCCATCGCGCTGGGCACGTTTGATGGCTCTTTTTAGGCTTCTTTTCTTCACCGCATCCATGGACGGCCGTAGGTAGCCGTAGCTGCTTGTTGGCTGAGTTCCACGTGTCTTTGCACCAAACTGGTGAATAAGAGCCTCTTCCCATGTGAGAGGTGCTCCAGCGGTTTCCGTGGTTAAACCGCAACCCTCACCCCCACTCCAGACGTGTGCAGGCATGTTCAAGCAAGATATCCAAACCAAAAGGCAAAATTGGAAAATCTTAAAGGCTCTGGAGTGCCCGGACTTGGGACCGGGAATGCAGTCAGCTTTCAGCACAGAAGCGGACTCACTAGCCAGGAAGAATCTTGGTGTGATCGTTCCCCCAACAACACAGAGAGCAAAAGATGTTCTGAATTGTGAAATTGCAAATGTACAAATCAAAAGTAAACTGCTCACTGGGCACCAATACGTATGAATGGATCTGATGGCAGTGAGAAGACCAAAATGCCAAGCTCCGTTTTGTGCAACAACACTTTTTCTGTCAGCAACAGGCAAGGTGGATTCGGCCAGAATGCGCGCAAAAAGTCCACCCGTCCACCAGTCAGCCAAAATGTAAATAATGAAAACGGTGTAAACCAAGGGGACCCCACCGCAGAAAGTCAGAAATGAAGCTGTTTGTTGAAGAAAAATCCAAAGGCCGATCTCTGGTGATGGCCACACTCCGGTGTGCACAGGTAGGACCCCACCGCAGAAGGTCTGTTCGCTGTCACTAGCCCTGGTCCAAAGCCAACTCTGTGTCCTGTGCCCAACAAGTGTGGTGAGCAATGTATGTGGCTGCGTCGTCAACAGAACCCCACTGCAGAAGGTCAGTAAAAAATCAGTGTGCTGCACTTGCTTAAAAACCTCGTCTCTGTGCTGGCAAGCCCCACCGCAGAAGGCCAAATTGTCGGTGTTGTAAGCAAGAGCCCCACCGCAGAAGGCCAGAATTCTCTCGGTGTGAGTCCAATATAGTTGAAATCCCAAAAAGCCAGAGCAACTGAAAAAAGGCCCACCTCTGAGAAAATCGTCAATGGGCAAGATCAGCGCTTCGGTGTGTGTATTGAAAACCCCACCGCAGAAGGTCAGTGTGCTGCCTCCAACCCAGGTCTGTAGGCTGCGCTGCACCAGGTGGCTAAGACAGGTCTTGGCCAATTGATTGTGTAGCGTCGTCAACAAAACCCCACTGCAGAAGGTCAGTAAACAATCAGTGTGTTGCACTTGCTTGTGAGCGTCTTGTCTGTACCAGCTAGCCCCACCGCAGAAGGCCAAAACTCCGGTGTGAATTGTAGAAGCCCCACCGCAGAAGGCCAGTGCTGTCTCGGTGTATGTTGTGAAAGAGGAGCAACTGGCTGGAGAAGAATCCAATTGTACCAATGAACAAAAATCACAAGCAAAAGGTGCTATCGTTTGGTGTGTGGGTGTGTGGGTGTGTGGGTGTGTGGGTGTGTGGGTGTGTGGGTGTGTGGGTGTGTGGGTGTGTGGGTGTGTGGGTGTGTGGGTGTGTGGGTTTGTGGGTGTGTGGGTGTGTGGGTGTGTGGGTGTGTGGTGTGTGTGGGGGTGTGTGTGTGTACACTGCTATTCACATGCAGAAAACTACAACTGGACATTTGATGACTATGCACGTTATGTTTTCCGAATTCATGCGCCAAAGACTATGCACGTTATGTTTTCCGAATTCATGCGCCAAAGACTACTTAACAGCAGGGGGCTGCAGGGAATGTCATAGTTCTGCAGCCAACGAAGACGGCTATGACATTCTGTGATATCGATCCGGGACGCTGGATCGACGTACCTGCCTAATCATGTCTTTCCTTTTCCGCGATGGGATGTGGCTAACCCAAGAACCACCTTGCTGATTAATGATTTGGACCTGGTTTCACCTGTTTATCAAGGATGATGGACTCAGGAATTCTACCAGGCGTGTACAACCACATCGTCATTGCAGTTCACTTCCAAAAAATCAACAGTGTGCATTAGTCATGTGTCCTATACAGACCATGACCTTATCATCCCTAATGGGGAAGAACAATCTTGGCATAGTGTGCCGAATCCGCCCTCTACGGAGGCAGAAGTTGAGCGAGTAGCCATAGGGGCTGCTAGAAGTGATGGCAATAGCCGAAGGGGGGTCAAGGACAATTGAAGGGTGGCATAAGCCGAAGGAGTGCCCAACGGGCGAATGGTGCCCATAGGGCGAAGGTGGCCATGTGCCGAAGGATTTTATTGGCCGGGAACCCTACTTCTTACTGTCATTTTATGAGTATCACAAAAGTGTGCGGACACACATAGTTTGTGATGCTCAAACCAAGCAGAATGTCAAACACGGTAGGGACCTTATCGCTGCAGATGTGTGTACGATCTTGATTCATGTTTTCGATCATGCGCAAGTTGACACATGATTTTGATGCGTTTTCAATCTGGGTAATGCATTCCCTTGGCTCATAGCAAGCTCTTTGACATGTTAAGTCAATTTGTTGCTTTTCATTTCTACATGTCATTCGTCATAACACACCATGCGCTAAATGTACTGACAATTCTTGAACAACTCATTTCTTCTTTCGTGTTCAGCAGACTTTTTCGCGATATGGAACTCCATGCAAGAAGCAAAGCTGCCAATGGACCGCCGTTGAGTGCTACCGTTGCGTATCTTCCGTCACAACCGATGGTATCACTGTCTTCACCGTGTGCAGCAGCTCCATTTGTACCACGGGCGACACCTGCATTTTCACCATTTCCCGGACATGCACCAGTTCTACAGACTCCGCCCGGTCCCCTTCCTTCACCTCCCCCCTCACATCCTTCACGTACAGTTGAACATGGACCTCACCAAGCAACCCCCAAGATACAACCTATCGCGGAGTCCTCAGCAAAATCAGGAGTATCACCGGTTCCCATCACGTTGCCAGCTGAACATGCGGAAAGACGTACGCCTACTTCACCATCCGGATTATCGTTGACTGTCAAAGGCATTGTAGGAGAATATAGATTGGAAGCTCAGAGTATTGATCATGCAGGACCCATAGTGTATCTCATGGATCGCATCATGACAGTGGAATCCAATTTGGCACAACAACGTCTTCAAGATCAACAGTTTTGGACACAAATGGACCAGACAACAATTGACACCGTTTGACTGAAAAGAAGCCGTCGTAGCTGCATTTTGGTTTTGTGCTTTTCATTCCAATTGCAACTTTGCAACTGTTCAAACGTTTTCTGCAACATCCCACCCAAAACGCCTGGCTCGCAGTGTGATATTTGTTTTCCGTAATTGATTATATTCAGTTCTCCAGCTTAGTTTACGTCCGTTGTTCTACTCTATATGGTTCACGGTACTGCAACACACTGGCTTAAGTGTTATATAACTGTGATTTAATCAATCCATTTACTGTTTTCATCACTGCGTTCTATCTCAACCACCTGACCTACGTGTTCTACGCGTCGGAATCTCAGTTTTTGGCGAATTCTGCCCTTCGTCCATAGACAACTAATAAACGTTCATTTTAAACGGATTTGTGGAAGAACAAGAATACAATCGATTTGTGTCCATTTCATTTCGTGGTATCCATGTTTCAATTGAAGTGCAGTTATCTTCACTTTTTAACACTCCAAAGTTATACTGTCCTTGCTCTATTTGTTCCACGCGTCGGCAACCCAGAAGTGTCACCTTCCTTATGAAGACATATGGATATATGTGTATACCGCTCTCCACACGCAAAGTGTTGCGCAATCTGCAACAAACAATTGATGTTCGTGAGGGACAAGGGCACGATAACTTTGGATTGCAACATATTCAATTATTTCGCTAATACAAACTTTGGATTGCATCATATTCAATCATTTCGCCAATAACAATTAACACCTTTTAATCTAACCATGTCCTTTCCATTTCGACTTTATTTATCGCGATTTCTTCGATCTACGTGGTCTACTTGCTCTACACGCAGTCTTTCAGAATTTGCCTTCCATGTGAAGGGGGTGCCCAACGGGCGAATGGTGCCCATAGGGCGAAGGTGGCCATGTGCCGAAGGATTTTATTGGCCGGGAACCCTACTTCTTACTGTCATTTTATGAGTTTTCACCTTCTCTTTCAAATCAATTTACAATTGTGAGGACAAGAGATCAATTTGAAGAGATCTAGAATATAGGAAGACCTATCACAAAAGTGTGCGGACACACATAGTTTGTGATGCTCAAACCAAGCAGAATGTCAAACACGGTAGGGACCTTATCGCTGCAGATGTGTGTACGATCTTGATTCATGTTTTCGATCATGCGCAAGTTGATACATGATTTTGATGCGTTTTCAATCTGGGTAATGCATTCCCTTGGCTCATAGCAAGCTCTTTGACATGTTAAGTCAATTTGTTGCTTTTCATTTCTACACGTCATTCGTCATAACACACCATGCGCTAAATGTACTGACAATTCTTGAACAACTCATTTCTTCTTTCGTGTTCAGCAGACTTTTTCGCGATATGGAACTCCATGCAAGAAGCAAAGCTGCCAATGGACCGCCGTTGAGTGCTACCGTTGCGTATCTTCCGTCACAACCGATGGTATCACTGTCTTCACCGTGTGCAGCAGCTCCATTTGTACCACGGGCGACACCTGCATTTTCACCATTTCCCGGACATGCACCAGTTCTACAGACTCCGCCCGGTCCCCTTCCTTCACCTCCCCCCTCACATCCTTCACGTACAGTTGAACATGGACCTCACCAAGCAACCCCCAAGATATAACCTATCGCGGAGTCCTCAGCAAAATCAGGAGTATCACCGGTTCCCATCACGTTGCCAGCTGAACATGCGGAAAGACGTACGCCTACTTCACCATCCGGATTATCGTTGACTGTCAAAGGCATTGTAGGAGAATATAGATTGGAAGCTCAGAGTGTTGATCATGCAGGACCCATAGTGTATCTCATGGATCGCATCATGACAGTGGAATCCAATTTGGCACAACAACGTCTTCAAGATCAACAGTTTTGGACACAAATGGACCAGACAACAATTGACACCGTTTGACTGAAAAGAAGCCGTCGTAGC